AGGAAGTGGGGAGGAGCTGACCTGGTAGACGCTGGCACAGGTGTCCCAGGAGGAAGGGGTTGCGTCCCCCACAATATAAAGGCAGCAGGGGCACTCGGACGAGGGAGGCCAGCCAGAGCACTGGAGTAAAGGTAACGGAGTAACGAGGAGTAACGGTAGTTCGAACTAGGAAGCCTAGTTTGAACTACCTAGTTCGTGCCCCGTGTAGCCGCGCGGCACAGGGTTCGAATGAGCGGGGATTTAAAAATGGCGGAGCCCCGCTTATGCAAATGAAGCCCGGGAAATTCAAATCCCGGGCTTCATTTGCAATTGCGGTATGCCTACATTACCCTCCTATTTCGAATTAGGAGGGTAGTGTAGACATACCCCCCGGTACTGATGGGTTCCAAGGGTCTAAGGACCTCGCTAAGGCCAGCTCCAAAGGCACCAAGCAAGTCTAAATCTAACTCAGCACTTTTGGTGCCATTGAACTTGACACTGGTGCCAAAGCCACAACCCTCTTCGGTACCAAACATGCCCATGACACCCCCAGCACCAAAGAAACAAACACATGGCACTGATGACACCCACCACGGTACTGCCTTTGGCACTGACAGCAATGGCACCTCAGCCTTTTATGACTTCTGAGGAGCTGCGAGTCACCTTGGTACTGACAACCCTACTTGACCTCGGCCAGATTTAGTTTCTTCATGGCAGGAGAGTCAGCACCGCCATTCTCCAGTGACGAGGATGAAGAGCCTGTAGTGGGTACTCACACTCCCAGATACTCTTCCCCCAAGCAATCCCAACCACCAATGCTCACCAACTGGCCCTATTGGGATTCCTGGGAATGATATAGAGTGCAATAGCAACAACAGCTGTAGCCTCAACCACCTCCTTCCTGCACAATTCAGGCTCCATCTCTGTGCTCTCTCGACAGATCTGTACTCCAAGAAGAGGAAGTCAGCTTCAAGTGAGGAGATCTCTGCTTCCTCGCTACCTCCCACCCATATTTCATCGTCACCAGATGACACTATAAAAGGTATTTTACAAGCTGCCCTGATCTGCAATGTACCCTTCTCAGCTACATAACTTAGGATCTGAGTCGTAACAGAAGAAATGGCGTAAAGAATTTTCACAGCAAGCCCCTTATTTATTTAAATAATCTTCAAATAGTATTAGAAGAATCCTTTACATGGTTTATAAGCATCAAATATGTAAAGTTATTTGAAGTGGGTGTGTTTAAGTTTGGTGATTTAGTTATCAGCATAAATAAAACACAATTTAGTGCAAATTGCTTTAACAACATGGTGTCAACTCACAGGGCCAGGGCCCAACAGGGTGGTAGATTCAGTTCGACAGAGTCTATTAGGGATAGTTGCTTTTATCAATCTTACTATGTCACTACTATTACAGGCTTAGTACTGCCAGATGGTTACATAGCTACGGCAAAGTAATACGCCAGTAAGCATAGGCAGAGCAATGCATAAAAGAGTAATAGGCACTTGGAAATGCTTACTCACCTTCAGTTCTGTGTGGAGTCCTGTTCCATTCACCTCGCACCAGGTTGCAGTGGACATGGCTCCAGCTGGGGGACCCAGGGCACCCTTTGAGGTTTAGGTCCCTGTTGAGACTCCAGAGGGGTGGGACTCCCAGTGATCTTATACTACAGTTGTTTACTGTAGGTGTGTATGTACCTGGCTAAACACCATTCTTGTCACTTTCATGAGCTGAGACCAAGGTCAGACTTGTTTACTGCTCAATAGTTTCCCAGCTCAAGGCATGGCTTAAAGCTGATAAAGCCCAGCTGTTTTTTGGGCTTGCAGAGTTCCAGGCTATGCTAAGCTGGGTACAGAAGGGATGGAAACTTCCATCCCAGACCTGCTAAGATGCAGGACACACATATGACTGTCATGTGACACATGGTATCACCTTGATACATTTTCATCTAAACTCCTAACACTTTGCTGGGCCCCTGGACAAGGTGGATGGGGGGACAGCTCCATGCTCTGGGAAGGGGCAGGGCCTCAGGTAGAGGCGATAGGGCTGAGGCAGCCAGCCCTCAGTGCTATCAGCACCACCACAGTTGCAGCAGGGTTGCTTCCTTTCCTTCTCCCTCTGTGGACCTGTTCTGTTTAATTTACAAGTGTTTAAAAGGCTCTTCCCAACAGGGTGCTCCTCATTTTATTTTTGATAAATCATCCTCTCCTGTCTTAATGTGAATGATTAAAACAGGTGAGGATTATTTTTTCTTTTCATACAGGTAACTGAGTTGCTGACACAGCTGAATTTGGGACCCAATCAGAGTAGAAAGAAATGCTAGGTTAGTGGCGGAATGGAGGAATAACAACTACATCGTGCATATATATAGATCCTTGCACTGTGGCTAGTTTAATTACTTTCAGTAGCACAGTCTCTCTCTTTCTCTCATATGTTCTATGTTACAATTGGTATTGGGCCTGAAAAAGTTATGCTTGAGCCCTGGATAGAGGAGAGTCAGATTAATATTATACATGGAGATAAAGGCAAAACTGAGAATTATGCATTTAAAACATTTTTAAAGGATTTCACTTTATTTTTTACATTTGAAAAACTACATATAAACATGTTCTCCATTTGACATCAGAATTTGCCATTCTTTTTATCATGCAGGACCCCAGTGCCCCCAATGAAGTTAGAGAAATTCTTCATGCTATAACTGTGCAAACATACTTAAAACATTATTTACATTTTATGCTTCCCCCTTTCAGTAGTACTTGTTGCAAAAGTTATATATTCTGCATACATAGCTTGCTCTTTGGCATTCATGTTTGATTCAGATGTAAAAAAGCTTGTGTGGTTTAAGAAACTCCCCAAAGGCAGTTTTAATAAATCTCCTCTCTGCTTTGTAAAGGAGGCCTTTGTATCAAAGCTTCCATCTAAATGCTTCCACGTTCTGCAGTTAGAAAATTCCACAAAATTCTTTGCTTACTAGATCATCTTCCTTTAGCACAAACACATGCTTTGCTTTCCCCCAATGAATTGTAGAAAGGGGAAAATTGCTTTTTGTAACAAGCAAAGATGAGTGTACCAAAAAAATCATAGGCTCACTAAATAGCTGGTACAGCATTCTCAGTACAATGCAAGATTACATATATTATATACATTATCTTAATGTTGCAGTTAAGCCACCATAAATCCAATATCAGAAGTTTTGGTCCTAAAAATTGGATTCATGCTCGTCTTGATTTCTTATTTTTTTTAAAGGAAAAGCTGTAGACAACTATCTCTTTATATCATGACTCCATTTTAAAAATTAGCAGACTACTAAAACAGACTTCAGCTATTTGGGTTATGCTATATTTGAGCCATAGAGCAAACTGGGAAAACAATATAAAATAATTTCTTATATTGTATAATTGCCATATAACTGGGAATAGAAGCTTTCTTGTATACAGAAAGTATCTTGCCTACTATCTTCCTAAATATATTTTGCTGTTTGCCATACATTTTCATATATGCTATTAAAATTAAATTGATAGTGTAAAAAATAGTACATGTAAAAGTCATGAGTCTAGACAAAGTGCGATTAAAAAAGTAAAATCTCTGAGTATTAAAAAGCATGTTTCCTGCAGTTTAAGGCTCATATGAACACTATTTTCAGTAGACAAATTATATACAGTAGTGTGTTCCAAATTTACAGAATAAAAGCTGTGCTTGCATTTTATTTAAATATGATCTATACATACAGGAGCTGGTGCATTATTCTGGTTTTCAGCTATAGTAGTTATGCAGGCTGGCTTTTGTATGAGGAAGCAATGTTTTCAGAAACCCCAAACCTTTTTCTAAACAAACCAAACATGGAAGAAGACATATCACATGATGCGACAGCTGCTCTTAGCCATGTCAAATTCAGTTCATAATAGCAACAGTACTTTCACACTGGTCTCCAAATAACTGGGAGAAGAACTCAAAAGCCAAATGGATGTGGATAGGGATAAAGACATAAGCTGTGTACACCACCATAGCAAAAACAGTAATAAAAATAGTGTGGAACATAGATTGCTCCCAGGGCTCCAACACATAGCAACAGGTGATCAATAGGTATTGATAGTATAACCAGTAGATATATTCCTTCGCATGCTTAATATCCATCTTTGGCTTTTAGCGGTTTTAGGCAATTTAACCTGTAACAACAAAGAACAATGCATTATTTGTTGAGAATTACTGTAACATACACAGTGATGGGGGATGTAATTGTTATACAAAATAGTTAAGTTAATCTAATAGAAGTAAAGTATAGATAATATTACTATCACAAGTCTCATTTTCCTTGTGCTGTACTCTTATTAGTTGGTTTTGTAGGACAAGAATTTCACTTGGAAAAAATAAAGTGTCATCTGGGCACTCAAAATCCTTAAATCCCCGATTTATGAATATTCTTCATATTCCATCCTGTAAATGGAGTAAAAGCCACTGTCTGCTGTTGAATGCAAAAGCTCACATAAGTCAGAGAGAAGGCTTTGGACCAGTTCTGCACATGGGGAGGCCAGGCTCGTATGTTTATGGAATAAAGATGTGATTTAAAAGAAAAGAGCTGCTCATTCCAAACATCTGTGCATTTTTCTTTAGTCCATTTCTTTAAAAAAATGCCTCCCTCCCTCACCCCAGAAAATCAAAACAGATCTTGAAAACTGTTGAGTCTTCCCAGCAAACTGCTAATTGGTACCCAGATCTTACAACAGTAGTCTCCAACCTTTTTAGAGCACAAGATCACTTTTTGAATTTAAATGCAATCCAGAATCTACCTCAAAACCAAACACCCTTGCCCCCTCCTTCTCCAAGGCCCTGCTCCTCTTACTCCATCCTTCCTCCCTCCCCCATCCTCATTTGCTTTTATTGGGCAGAGGGCTGCAGTGAGGGGAGGGGGATGCAGGCTTTGATCTTGGGCTAAAGGATTTGGAATGTGGGAGGGAGTTGAGGTGCAGGAAGGGGGTTCAGGGTGCAGGCTCTGGGAGAGTTTGGGTGTAGGGGGACTTAGAGCTAGGACAGGGGTTTGTGGTGCAAGAGGGTTCAGGACTGGTGCCAGGGTTCAGAATGAGGGCTCCAGCTGGGCACCGCTTACCACAGGTGGCTTCTGTATGGTGGTGCAGTGATGCTAAGGCAGGCTCACTCTAGCCCTGCACCATTCCCAAAAGCAATCAGCAAACTCTCTTCATCCCTGTTCCCATTCTGCTCTGTGGAGATGTGGTACAGGGGTGGGGTAGAGAACGGCACCCAGATATCAGCACCCTTCCTCTTCCCCATGCCCTGCACAGCAAGCAGGAGGTTCCCAGGTAGTGGGGACATAGCAGCTGGGGGTACAGGAGAGCGATTTAAATAGAAACAGCTGAGGGTGCTTGCAGCTCCCTGTGCCTCTAGCATGTTGCTAGGGAGCCAGAGATGCCAGCCCATTCAGCTGTTTCTATTTAAAGGGTTTGTGCCTTCGCCATGCTAGGCAAGATGCGGGAAAGAAGTGAGCTCTTTAAATAGAAGCAATTTGAAGGGCTTGTGCCCCTCTCCTGCTCTGAGGCAATGAGCTAGGGGACGGGGCCTGAAACTGCCTAGTGGGCCAGATCAAAGCCCTAGGAAGAGGAGCTGGATCCAGCCCACTGAGAGGCTTTTGCCCACCCCTGACCCCTGGCAGATGGTTTAACAAAAAATACCAAACCCACGTTCCCCCCCCCCAAATAAAAACCCCCAAACCACACTGGGGAAAAAAACCAAAACGCCACAGCAGCAAAATCTGTTGAGCCAAAAAATCCCAAAAAACACTTCAGTTTCCCAATGTGCCCTTTTAAGAGCTGAGCATGCATTGCCCTTTTAAGGTGGCCATTTTGAAGTCTGCCTGGGATGCTCTATCCTTCCCCTGCCCCAGCCAGGAAAAACAGAAAATACCGGACATTTCACCTGTCTGGCTCAATACCGGACACCTGGCAAACCTACTGACCTAGCTACTAGTACAAGGTACTGAGCCTCCTCCCAGGAGATGAAGACCATTGCGTGGAATGGACTCATGTCCAGCAGCATGTGAGTAGGGCTACCAGATCGTTAAAAAAAAAAATACTGGACACTCCTGATCTCAGATGGGGGAGGGCACCGGGGGGGAACTGGCCACTGGGAAGCAGGGCTGGTTGGGAGGAACCGGCCAGCAGGAAGCAGGGCTGGCCAGGAGGAGTGGGGCTGGCTGGAGGAGATTCGGAGGGGGGGAACTGACTGCTGGGAAGCAGGGCTGGCCAGGAGGGGGTTGGGGAGAGTGTAAGGGGGGAACCAGCCAGCAGGGAGCGGGGCTGGCCCAGGCGCATGCAGATCCCGGGGTGATGCCCATCCCATGCATGGTCCCAGTGGGGCGCATGGGTGAGTCTGGCCTCAGGGATTCCATCCCGTCCCCCTCCTCTGGACTGCATAGGTGCGTACTTATACTCATGATAATAATAAAAGCTTAATTAGAAAATACTGGACATTTATATGTCCGATATTTTCTCAATTTGTTTCCTGGTGAGAAAGCTGAAATACCGGACTGTCCAGTTTAAAACCGGACATCTGGCAACCCTACATGTGAGCCACTTGCATACACTTGCAAGCCTGGTGCCTGCCCCAGTGGGTGGGCCTGGCAGGGATGGTATAGCCGCATGAAGTGCTGGCTCCTGGGAATGATGGCCTGACAGATGCTGCTGCTTTTGCTGCTGTGCAGCTCAGCAGATACAGAGACCCAAATTCAGTTTTCAGCTTAGCCCCACACTTCGGCTGTGTCTACACTGGCCCCTTGAATTTCCGGAAAAGCAGTGATGATTTACTGTAAGAAATCAGCTGCTTTTCTGGAAAAACTATGCTGCTCCCGCTCGGGCAAATGTCCTTTTTCCAGAAAACTATTCTGGAAAAGGGCCAGTGTAGACAGCACAGTAGTCTTTTCCGCAAAAAATCCCCGATTGCGAAAATGACAATCGGGGCTTTTTTTTTCCAGAAAAGCGCGTCTACATTGGCCACGGAAGCTTTTCCGGAAAAAGGGCTTTTCCAGAAAAGCATCCTGCTAATGTAGACGCTCTTTTTCCGGAAATACTTATAACGGAAAACTGTTCCGTTTTAAGCATTTCCGGAAAAAGGTGCCAGTGTAGACACAGCCTTCCTGTGTAAAATCTACCAGATCCCTTACTACCTCACAGAGTTGTGAGAATAAATTAATTAGTGATCATGAGTTGCTGAGACACTACAGTAAAGAGCACCATATAAGTTCTTACGTAGACAGAACTCAGGTACTCTGACTCAGTACCATGCTCCCAATACTGCACTACACTGTCTTTAAATAAAATACAAAGGTTCATCTAAATAAAGACAATCATTTTTATAGTCTCTGTCCCTACCACTGACAGACTTCCACTACATTTAATATACTGAGACTTACTCATTTTGAGTGGAGTTTTTGGAAACATGCCAAATGGAAGGAACATCTCAGAGTAATGGAATTCAATATAAATTATATATTAAAAACACATAAATGACAAAAACCAAAGCCATCTTAAATCAACTAATCCATGAACAAGATGTAAGAAAATCCAGTGTTATCCTGGCATGGAATCCTTTTACTAAGACTCATTTACATTGGCTTTAAGCACAGAATTGGCTTTAAGCACAAACACTACTTCCGGTCTGGAGGCTTCTGGAACCTCCAGACAGACCTACAACTCCTGAGCCAGCCAGATTATTTTGTAACAGCTGGACTAGATAGAGAAAGAAAAACATTGGTCTGACTGTTTGGAGCCCTGCACATTTAAAACAAATATTTTAGGTTTGTTTTATATAAAATATAAGCACATAATGAAACACAACTCAGAAAATCATGCACAAGATGGAAATAGCAGATAAAAAAATTCAATGTGTATTGCATAACCTAGAAAAAACCCAAAACCAAAGCAAAGAACCAAAGCAAAGAACTTTAGAGGTTTTCAGGGCATCAGTTATTAAAGTGACTAAGTAGATAAGTAAATGACAACAGAACCTGTGAGTACTGGAGACTAACTGCATGGCTGCATCTAGACTGACATGATTTTCTGCAAATGCTTTTAATGGAAAAGTTTTTACATATCTTTTGCACAAAAGCACTTTTTGCGGAAAAGCGTCAGTGCTAATCTAGACGCAGTTTTGCGCAAGAAAGCCCCGATCGCTATTTTCGCCATCGGGGCTTGTTTGCACAAAACAATTTTTAGCAGTCTACACTGGCCCTCTTGCGCAAATACATTCACACAAGAGGGCTTTTTCCCGAATGGGAGCAGCATAGTATTTGTGCAAGAACACTGACAATCTTACATTAGATCGTCAGTGTTCTTGCGCAAATTCAAGCAGCCAGTGTAGACAGCTGGCAAGTTTTTCCGCAAAAGCAGCTGCTTTTGCAGAAAAACTTGCCAGTCTAGATGCAGCCCATATGTATACAATAATTTCATGTTTGACCAGTCATCCTCATATTTTTTCCAAGTATTTCTGTTAGATAGACTTCCCCCCCCCATGTACATAGTAGTAGAGAGCTCACTAATCCAGTCTGTGTACAAGGGAGAAACTGCAACTTCCATTTTCTCAAAATAAGTCTTTTAACCACTATTAGTTATTGTAATCAACTTCTTAATGTTAACTGGTAATGCCAATTCAGCACCCCTAAAATACACAAGCTTGAGAATGAAAGATAGCAACACTAAATTTTTGAGAGTGTGTTAAGTATGGTGTTTCATAACAAATGCATTTTTATAGGATAGAGGATGTGTGAAAGGTTAGCAGTTTCTGTTTGCATTGTCAACAATTGCTGGGTATTGCCAATTTAGCCTTAAAAAACACTTTGGAGTCCAGTGCTACCTGTTTAATATCTTATTCTAGAAGAATCACAAGGATACAGAATTAGAAGTATCTTTCATATTAAGCCACATATCCTCTAATGTTTTTGTTGTGCAAATAAGGTTACATTCTTTTTCCCATATTTATCTTTGAAACTAATAACTGGTGTTTGTTACACATGTAATTGAAGGAGGACCATCTATAAGCTTGTATTTTATCTTTAACCTTTCACATGGGTTTCACGAGGCTTACAAGATCTGATGACAAAGGGTTCTGGGGTCGGCAGATCCCCGTATAGACTACCGCGCTGTGCTGACAATCAGCTGATCAGCACAGCACGGCGGCCATTTTAATGTAAATGAAGCAGTGATTATTTAAATTGCCGCTTCATTTCCCTTTGCCAAGTAAACTCATCTACATGGCTCCCTCAATGGAGCCATGTAGTCTAGACACACCCTCAGTGACTTAATGCTGAGATATGTACATTGCCTATGGTTTGAGAGATTAAAAGAGAATCAAGAAGGGATAGCCCTGTCATGTCCCTCATCCTAGTTGAAATGTGGTAGAAATATTTACTTTAACTAATAATGAAGCAAGGGGACAATTGTAGAATACACTGACCCAATTCAGAAATATTGGTTCAAGTCCATTTTTAAGGATAGCCATGTGATAAGGCCATTCAACCTTATCAAAGGCCTTCTCATCTGAAATTGCTGGATAAAGTGAATGCTTTTTTGTTATCAGCACCCAATCTTCCATTAACAAAATTAACGTGATCTACATGTATACATTGATGGGATAATGGCATTTACTTGTGCCTCTAAAATGTTTAAAATTATTTTGCAGTCTGTTGAAACAAAGATGTAGGTGGAAAGCAACAGTTGCAACTATCCTTGTTCTTCTTTAATTTTAAAGTAATTAAAACAGTTCTCATATCAGGAGACATGGTTCCTTTTTGGAACGTTGTGGTGAAGACCACTGAAAACACAGAAGATGGATAATTACAAAATGTTTTATAGCAATCTGCTAGAAAACCAACTATCCCAAAGGTCTTTCCTGAATTCACATTTTATAGCCTATTTGTTCTCTTCTTCAGGGGCGGCAGGTTTGTATAATTTTTGGTGGTGCCCCATTAGCCACATCCCCTAACCCCAGTTAACCATGCCCCAACCCCCATTAGCCATACCCCCTGACCTCCATTAACCACTCCCCAACCCCTGTTAACCATGACCCCGACCCCCGTTAACCAGGCCTCTGGAGGTAACACTCGGGGCAAGATGGACACATGATCAGAAGTAAAAGGTGTCATGTCACCCTTTCTTGTTCTTGCGCAAGAAAATGCCAGTGTAGACATAGCCTAAGAGTTTCCTCCCATGGGCAGAATGAATTTTGTGTAGTGCACCAGTACTGAGTTCATGTGGCACCCAAGTTATTAACAAATATTTTATAAACCTTTACCTTTTCTCTCTGCTGCCATGTCTCCTCCCCTTCCTCCATCAGCTCCCCTGGTGCCTGCTGCTCCCCAATTCCTCACCCTCCTCTGCTGTCCTGACTCCTTCCCTTCTTACTGCCCTCAGCCCTTCTGCGACCTGCCCCCCTCCACCAGCCCTTGTCTTTCTCCTGTGCCTACTCCTCCAGTAGCCCCCCTCTGATCATGTGAGCTACCCCTCCTCATCCCCTCTTCTAACACCTCCCTCTACAAACCTGCCCTGCCTCTCTCCTCTGGTGCTGGTCTCTCCCCTGCAGGTGTCTGCCCTTCTGCTTCACCCCCAGAATCCTTTGGCACCTTCACCTTCCCTTAGCCCTGCACCCTTCTGGTGCCTCCCCCTCCCCTTACTGCCCCTGCACCCTTTGCCCTCTTTTTCCCTGATGCCCACCCCCTTACCATTCTCTACCCCCATTCCTCTCATGCCCCTCTGTGCCCTCACACATGACTTGCTCCATCCCCACCTTTCTTATGCTCACCCCTTCTTTCAAGCCTTCTCCCAGCACCACCCCCTCCAGCCCCCAATGCCCTTACTCTCTCCTCTCCCAGCATCACCCTGTCTCCCCCTCCTACTGACAACTCCCCTCTTGCCATTTTCCTCATTGTCTGCATTTATCCCCTGGCATTTATCTCTCCTCCACGCTGTCCCTTGGTGCCTTCCCCTTTGTTCCCCCTCCACCTCTGCACAAACCCCTTCCTCTCCCCCCCCCCCCCCCTTGTCTGCATTTATTCCATGGCATTTATCTCTCCTCCACGCTGTCCCTTGGTGCCTTCCCCTTTGTTCCCCCTCCACCTCTGCACAAACCCCTTCCTCTCCCCCCCCCTCCCCCTAGTTTTCCACCTTCCCTTCCCTTCCACTTTGCGGGGCTGGAATTTGCATTCGGGCCCGAGAAGTCCCTGGACTCCGAACCCAGAGCTAGGCCACGCGGCGCAATGCTGCACCAAGCAGTTTTAAAGTCCCGGGCCGTGAAGTCACGTCATGCCCGGGTGTCTCCCCACACACTTAAATGCCGTGTGTGGCAGCAGCAGCTGGCAGCGCGTGCCGGCAAGGAGGAGCTGGACTGAAAGCTGTGCATGGCAGGGATGGGTCCGGGTCCAGGGGGGACGCTCTGAGGCCAGGGTGGGAGGACGCATGGGGGGGCTGGCAGGTGGGGGCCGGGGCCCACTCCATGCATGGCTGGGGAAGCGACCCAGTTCTGAATATTGCTGGAGCATGGGCACCATGAGCCCATATAACTTGCCACCCATGTTCTCGTGTACTGTGAATTCCATAAACATTAGTCCTGAAAGTAGGGCATTAAAAGGTAGGCCTTCAATGAAATGTATTAGTCAAATTGGTTTTTTCAAAAGCTTGATAGGATCACTTAAATTGATTATTTATATCTATTGGTTCAAGGATGGAACACCTGTCTTCTTATAACAAGGAAAAATATTATTGTTGGCTACTTCCATATTAAGTCTTTGGCAAGCAATCTGCCTTATATCCCCCCTCATAATTTCTTTGTTCAATCCTCTTGAGTGTAAATTCGACTTGGCTGGATAAGCATTCATTAGATTTATATGTGGCACTTATTAGAGAACATTGAAAGTTTGAATTATTTGGATCAGTCTTGTGTATTCTCTGCAATACATCTATTTCCTTGTCCAGAAAATCTAGTAGCATGGGTCTCTCTCTCTCTCTCTCTCTCTCTCTCTCTCTCTCTTCTTATGGGAAGCATACATTATACATTCATCACTTATAGTCACCTTCAGAGCTTTCCAAAAGATAACTGGGTGCTTATTTTTTTATAAGAAGTCAGAGATGATTGAATCAACTGTGGAACCAAATGTTACCTTTTTTTAGTAGCACAGTGTTCAGCTTCCACCCAGAAGATTTTAATGATGTGTAACTAATGTAATTGGTAGGGCCTTACCAAATTTGTGATTCATTGTGGTCAATTTCGTGGTCTTAGGGTTTTAAAAATTATATATTTCTTGAGTTCAGCTATTTAAATCTGAAATGTCATGGTGTTATAATGGCAGGAATCATGACCCAAAAAGAAGTTGTGGGAGGTTATGATACTGCTGTCCTTCTATGCTGCAGCTAGCGGTGATGCTGCCTTCAGAGCTTTGGGCAGCTAAAGAGCAGTGATTGCTGGTGGGGAGCCCAGCTGTGAAGCCAGCAGCACAGAAATAAGGGCAGTAATAACATACCATGTCATCCTTACTTCTGCACGGCTTCCTTCAGAGCTTGGCGCTGTGTCAGCAGTTGTCACTCTGGCCGCCCAGCTGTGAAGATAGTTGCACAGAAGTAGGGGTTGCACGGTATGGTACTGCCATCCTTCTGCACCTGTGCTGGTAGGATGCTGCATTCAGAGCTGGGTATCTGGCCGACAGTTGCTGTTGTCCCGTCACCTAGCTCTGAATTCAGCGCAGAAGTAACAGTAGCAACAGTGTGAATCCCCTCGCCCCCCCTTGAAAGTCCCTTTTGGTCAGTCCCCTAATTTGAGAAATTCTGGTCTCCTCTGTGAAATCTGTATAGTATAAGATAAAAGCACACTAAAGATCAGATTTCGTGGGATGGAAGCAAGGAGACCCAAATTTCATGGTCCATGATGCATTTTTCATTGCTGTGAATATGGTAGGGACCTAGTCATTGGTAAGTATAATTGGAGCATGATATCAAGTGAATACATTATCAATAGTTACTTCCAGTCAACTGGAACCAGAATCATTTATGAAGATACAAGAGAAAAGTCAGTTGTGGAGTAAGATGAATATACTGTAAATAAATATGTACAATCTTTTTGGGGTGTCTCAGTCCCAATGTATGTTTCAAATCAAGTTAATTCATTAACAGTTATGGTTGGCCTGCTGTGCTTTGAAAGCTGGGTTTTATTCAACTGGATATGTCCAGAAGACTAGCATAGCATTACAATCTCCTCCCAGTATTATAGGAATGTCTTTTATTAGAAATGGACCTTGTGGAGCCTGCTAAATCCATAGTGAAGGTGGACTGATGCTTGATGTTGTATCAGGCATTGGTCCCTTCAGGAATTGCTTTATGCCACTGAAGGCAGCCCTCTGTTTCTTAAGCTCAGCTGAGGCACTAGGGGAAAAAAAAAAAAGAAAATTTATGGCCTTTCTGCAGAAGGGTTTTGGCTTTTGCAAGCATATGGTTATTGTATTATTGAATTTCCGCAGCTTGAAAATGATGGGTCTGGGCTTATCAGGCTCTTGCTTTGTAGTACCAGTCATTCAATATCTAATGGGGACAGCTGGAGATCCAATTCAAGTATGTCCCGGAGCAACTTCTGAAGAAAGTAAGATCCTTTTTCTCTACACCTTCAAGAGGTTGTTTCTTTAAGATCTGTTTTCTAAAACATTTTATTTTTAATTAAGGGTGATTGCCTATCTCCTAGAACTGGAAGGAACCTTGAAAGGTCATCGAGTCCAGTCCCCTGCCTCCACAGCAGGACCAAGTACCATCCCCGATGAATTTTTGCCCCAAATCCCTAAATGGCCTCCACAAGGATTGAACTCACAACCCTAGGTTTAACAGGCCAATGCTCAAACCACTGAGCTATCCCTCCCCCATATTTTCTACTCTAAGCTTTAATTTCACTGGTTTAATGAGTCTTTTGTAGCGCATATTCCAAATAAAGCATTTCAGCATATGGACATCACATAACTCTTTAGAAATTGAATCCACTGTTTCTGTGAGGATTCTTTCAGTGCTGTGATATCCTGGCCTAAGTTATGCTGTGGCCTTGTGATCTCCCTCTTCAGCTGCTTGGGGATTCAGTCTTAGGTCTCTTGTTGCCTCTCATTTTTATATTGGAATCCATATTCAGCAATTTGAAGTTTGTCCAGGGAGTTAATTTAAACTTTAATGACAAGAACCTATTGCCATTTTCCTAGGAAAGTAATAATTAGAGATGAGGTGATATGTGGAGAGTAAGGAAATCTGGGACTAAGCGGAGATCTTCCTCACAGGTACCAGGTGACCCCACCTTGCACATATTAAGGATCCTGCATTAGCTTGCATGGTCTCAGAAACCCAATCTCAATGGGTCATTATACAAATATCACACTACAGGCAGTCCCCGGGTTACGTACAAGATAGGGACTGTAGGTTTGTTCTTAAGTTGAATCTGTATGTAAGTCAGAACTGGCGTCCAGATTCAGCCGCTGCTGAAACTGACTGCCAGTTCCGACTTACATACAGAATCAACTTAAGAACCCCAAGCGTCCCCAAGTCAGCTGCTGCTGAAACTGATCAGCGGCTGATTCCAGGAAGCCTGGGGCAGAGCAACTCTGCCTCGGGCTTCCTGTAGTCAGCGCTGGTCAGTT